CACTTGCTCTCACTCCTACTCCTGCGCCTGCTCCAGCATTGATATGGTGGAGCGCTAAGATGGTGATGGCACTCTGAGAAGGTGGCCATCTCTGAAATAAGAGTAACTGAAAAAGGCAACAGCTGAAAAGGATAGTGTTGGGTTGCCGGTAAAGGGAGGTGGCATGTGTCCACTGAGTGCTGGAGAAGAAGAAAGTGGCTTCGGCTTCTATGGCCTCGCCTAAAGATACACCTAGGTGCCTTGAGTGAACAAGCTCACCTGGTTGGAAGAAAGTCACTCCAGAAAAGCTAGTGCATCGTCGGCAAATGTTCGTAAGGATATCTTAGAAACGGCACGTCCAATTGAGGTGGTGTCTTTTGCTGCTGGTGCACGTATGTGTGTCCATGGTATGGTGTAAATGTGACCTCAAGCGGAGATGTGAATGATGGTGAAAGAATGAAAGATGCAAGACGGGCATCTAGAGATAAGTGTGGGCAACGCTGTTGGAAGTGATTGGTGATGGAACTGTGAGTGTAAATGATATGGAATGAGTGAGAGGAATGTGTAGGGTGTAGTAATGGTAAGGGAAGGGCCAAAGAACCTGGAACATGGACCAGGCCAAGCGAGGAACCTCCATACAAATGGCAATATAGCCTAAGCACAAAATCCAAGGATGGGCCATGGTCCAATAGGGAAACACTCTCTAAAAGTAAGAAAAGGAGTCATGAAAGTAAAGTGAAAGGAAGGAAGAAAAAGAAAAAGAAAAAGAAGAGAAGAGAAGAGGAACACCTCACCAGGTGAAGCATTTGAAGTGAGAGTGGTTGTGAGCATGTGGGAGCTCATGTCCATTAGCATCAACTAGCACATATGCTCCACCTCTGATGTGTCGCTAGACAGAATAAGGGCTAGTCCAGCAAGGGGAGAACTTCGATGGTGGCATAAACTCCTTGAGTAGAACAAGATCACCATCCTCGAATGGTTCGGCAGATCGCTAGTGATCAATGCCGGATTTGATCTTCTTCTTGCCTCGAAGGAGATGTTCAGTCATGGATTGTCGCTGTTCTTCCAAGGCAAGAACCTTCAAGTCACGTGCATGAAGCTTGTCCTCATTGCTAAGCTACACCGCTACTGCATATCGAAGTGAAAGTGAGAGTGATGGCACTTGGATCTCCACTGGAAGCACGGCCTCGGTGCCATAGACAAGGGAGAATGGTGTTACGGAGATGGATGTCTTGAATGACGTCTGAAAGGCCCACAATGCCATAACTAAGTGTTTATGCCAATGCCTTGGGTGATCCCCCATAAGCTTTGAGATGACTGTTTTCAATATCTTGTTGCTGGACTTCACTTGGCCATTGCACTCAAGATAATAGCTACTGCTCTTCACGTGCTTGACCTGCATCCGTTGGAGAAGATGCTGCATCATTTGTCCAAGGAAGCTGCTGCCACAATCAGAAATCAAAACGGCAAGAACTCCGAATTGACAAATAATGTACTCGTAGACAAACTTTGCTATAGACCATTGATTTGCCTATTGCAGAGGGGTAGTGTCAACCCATTTCATGAAATAGTCTGTCTCCACGATGATGTATCGTTGTCCTTTTGAGCTCGGTGGGTTGATCGGGCCGATGAAGTCAAGTCCCCACTGGAAAAAGGGACCTGGAGAAGTGATGAGCTGGAAAGGAAGACGTGGAACATGGCTCTGGGGGTTGAATTGTTGGCACTGCTCACACGCCTTTGCATAGGCCAAGCTGTCCTGGTGAATCCGAGGCCAAAAGTAGCTATGGTGCAAGAGGAGCTGTGCTGTGACCTGTCCTGAGATGTGCCCCACATAAGAGTGGAAAGCATGAAGGAGCTCAGGGACCTTGTGTTCCCCTACACACCACAACAAAACTTCTTGAGAAGTCCTCCTGTAAAGGTGTCTGTCAAGAAGGCAAAACCCCTATGCTCAGATCTCCAATGCCTTTTGTTGCACTGGTGAGGAATCTGCTGGGAACTGACCTAAATCACAAGTACACTGCAATGTCCTATAATGCTGCTAGGACCACAAAGGAAGTAGCTTTAGCAACCAGGAACTTGCTCGGATCCATCACATGCTTTTGCCCCATGTGAAAAGTTGGCTGGAACTCTTGGATGGTCACAATCCAAAATAAAGTATGAGGACTGTGAACTATTCATTGTAAAAGAAAGGTCAGCACATTAAAATAGACATGGAAATGGATATAAGCTCCAGCAAGAAAGTGACGAAATCGCTCTAAGGTGTAAATAATAGCCACCGCTTCTTTTTCTGCATCCACGTACTTCTTCTCAGTCTCCTTGAATGAATGTGAGGCATAGTATGTTGCATGTGGTGCCTTGCCAGGCTGTGAACATTGGCAAAGGCATACTCCAAAAGCCTCTATACTCGTTGTGATGTAAATGTCGAAAGGAAGTTGTCGCTTTGGTGGTTGGAGTACCGGGGCTGTGTGGAGGTGATTCAAAGGCTTGTTGCTGGGACTCACCCCAGATGTGCGGCATATTTGTGGAGGAAACGGCGAAAGAAACCCATTTGCCCAAGGAAGCTGTGAAGTTGCTTCATGTTGGTTGGTGGGTTCCGATCCAGAATCTCCTGAGCCTTGGCTACCTGGGGCTTGATCCCATCCTGCGAGACATCAAAGCCTAGCAACTGGCCTTCAATCACCCCGAATTTACACTTTGCCGAGTTCAATGAAAACCTATGTTGTCGGTAGCGAGTGAAGATCTGCTCCAAGTGCACAAGGTGGTCCTCAAAGGAGTCAGAGGTTGTGCACAGATTATCCATATACACCCTCAAGGTGCCTCCAATCAAGTCATGAAAGGCATATGTCATTTTATCTTCCCTAATTTCCCCATTCAACTTTTATTAGGACAATGGCGGGTTGTCAATCCTCAACTTATGGGTTGTTATGAAATTCCATACTCTGAAGTGTGTGAATGATATATAACGCTTTTTGGGCAAAATGCAAAGTCTTGATTATTTTGTTGATCATCTTTTTAATTGTACTGATTGTTAAAGTCATTAATATCATCTTTCATTTAGTTTAAGAACTAGGAATTAGCATTTATAAATCTTAAAGAGTTGTTGATAACTCCTTCAATTTTGGTGTATCTAGACTACACTTGACCTTTTATTTTGCATATAGATGCTTCTGATATTAGTCTTGTGGTGTATTGATGTAGAAAAGTATGAGTGTGTTTAGTTAGCATTATCCTATTGCATATATCAATATTGCATTATAATTAGTACAGATGAACCACTCCACAACATAGGAGTGTTTAGCAATAGTTTGGCATTTCAAAAAGTTTCATGTATATTTACATAGTTCTTATATATTATTAAAAAGTGATTATGTTATAATTGCATTATTATTGAAGTACAAGAACTTGGTTAGTTTTATTGTTCGGTGAACTCTAAAATTTCAAATATATATTGAGATTGTTCATCATTTAGGGAGTTATATAACTAATGTTAATGCTCTTTCTTAAGTTCCTCTCTCTTCTTCACTTTGTTCACTTGTTTTTTATAAGATTATTATTCTAGCATCCATGGATTTTCTAGATGAGGATTTTGTGCTATCGATTATTATACTTAATGTTTAGTGTCCACAAGGTGTGGCACAAAATTTATCTTCTCTTGACAAAGCTCATAAGACTCAAAAACTTGAGTCGTGGATCTAAGAGCTTTGTGATGGGTTTGAGAATCCTATATTAAATACTAATGACTTGCCATTTATATTCTTAATATTCATCTTGAGGACGAACTTTTTTATTTTATGAGGACTAATTATGATAATCATTTATGGCTAGTGGTGCCTTTAGTTTTACTTCCACTCTTTCTCTACACTTACCATGACTTTCATATTTTAGATGGGTATATATAGTATTGTCGTATTACTAAGAAGCTGTATAAGTTTTTTTATTGGCCAAAGATGTGACATGATGTTATTCAATATATATGTAGATGTGCCAAGTTTCCCCCTCATATTGTAGAAAGACAATTGGAGTTAATTACAATTTCCTATTTATATGAGTTGGTAATGTTAGATTTAATGGGGTATTTTCCATGGTTGACTATTGAGAATGAGTATGTCATTATCTCTTTGACTACTTAAACTTATTGGTGGAAATTAGTGCTCTTATTAGTGCATCTGCAACTACTATTAAATACTTCCTCCTCAATCGAGTGATGTTCCAATATTCTTTAACAGAATAGATTTTGTTAAATAATAGTCTTTTATTTATAATTGAGGCATTTCACATTTTAACATCTTGGTTGAGAATACATTACACTTTCACTAATGTTTATCATTCACAAATAGATGGTTTGGTGGAATAATTCATTTAGACCTTCAAAATGATGATTGCAAAGTACATAAATTTTTAACATTCAAATTAAGATAGTTATTTATCGTCTCTTTAGTATGCATATGTCACCAGGTACAAAGTTTCATAAATGTTTCACCATAAAACTTTTATATAATCATGATCCAATATTGTCAACAGAATTGAGTTTACCCTTGTTTGGGTGGTCATTCTCTTATACATCCTCACATTTCCATACACTTCAGATAAGAAAATTCAAATCCACCAATAAAGTATAAACTCACTCTCATATTCCCACACTTCAAGGAGTGTTACAAAAATGGAGAGAGATGGTCCCCCAAGTTACCCACTCAACCCTATGCCTGCTCCTTGCAACCTCACAAGCACAAGATTCTGTGGGCAATGATAGAGCCCTTGCCCTACTTATCATGTGGTTTCGAGCTGCTCCAGGGCCATTGATCCAAGCTCAACCATTCAAGCATGCATATCATGTTTGAATTGACTTCATCAACTGAACGGTCAAAGGAGTCCTTTGTAATGTAATGTGGCTGTAGTTAGTGGTGAGATTCCATGTTGTGGCTGTGGAGACCTGGGCTTGAATCCCAGTAGCCACAATTGCATTCTTTTTTGGTAAGCTTGTTGAAGTTTTAGTTTGACTTTATTTTCATGCTTCAGTCGAATTAATACATTTCGAGAAACACTGGATGCAACGGAGGCATGGCTGTTCTGCTACATTCATTGAACTCATCCAGAAGCACTGAAGAAGTACCTTTCTCCAAGTAGAGTGGGATGTGATCAAAACCAACATCTTGTTTGTTGGAGAAAAACCTCCCTGTTGTAAATGCCAGCCAAATAGCTGTTTCAGCCCCGGCTTGAGGCGAATGACCATTATTCCTCAACATATCAGTGCTCGTCAGCCCTGGACACATGCAATTCACAAAGATTTTACGACCTTGTTTGGGGAGATTCCATGCCATCGCTCTTGAGTAAGCATTGATAAGGAGTTTAGATACGCAATAGTCGTATGCTCCAAAGATCCCAGACCACCCTTTTTCTCTAAGTTGGCCATGCTCCACGTCCTCGATGAACTCCTCTGCCACTTCGTCCAAAGTTTCGACTGAGAGCTTGTCAATGTTAGAAATCTTATGTACCACGGCTTGGTTTCGAAGAGCCTGTTAAGCACCGAGAGTTTATAGCTAAATCCAGAAGAGACTTACATCCATTCGGCTTATTGCTGAACTCACATTGCCAAAGTTTTGGATGGATGACGGGCTTCTCACGTCCAAGACATGGAAGTGAAGCGTTTCCGGATTGATCTTTTGATCCTTCTTGAGAGAATTTAGAGCCGCCAATCCCCTTTGCTCGTCTCTGGATGTCAGGATTGTAGTCACTCCCTTGAGTGCCAGGCCTTGAACAATGGCAAATCCGAGCCCCTTGTTGCTCCCAGTCACCACCGCAATTGTATCTTTGGACCACCATCTTGTTGTCCAGGAAAAGAGCATTTGATTTACATGGAAGAGACTTGAGTCAAGAAAATGTAAGAAGTATTTCTCCAGAACACTTACCGCAAGTCCGCCATAGCTCAAGAAGGCAACAGTTGCACGCCCGGGTACAGAGAGGTATGTTCGATCAATCCTTTGCCTTTGCGGGCTCATGTTGATCTTTATTTGCAGATGGAAACAGTGTAGAAGTAATGGTGGCACAGCCGAGGAGCCTCCAATAACAAGGCTCATTTCATTCACATCTAGGAGTACTATTATCAATGCTGAACTCCTCTCATCTTTTCCCAGTTGACACTACAGATGCTCCACAAAGCGTCCAAGATGTCACTGTTCTCTAAGATGGGACCATGAAGTTCATGCCATGTTTCGTCTGAAAGGTTCTTGCTTATTTCTCCTTGACGTTCTTCGTGTTCGTTTCCAGAACCAATCTCAAACTAGGACAACATCTCCAGTCCAATCGACCACAAAAGATGAGATTGTGCTGACAATCCGGCACCATTCTCACGCAAGGAGATCAATTTTTTTCTCAGGAAATAAATATAAATCTAGTGGAATTATTTACCCACTTAACAAGTAATGTGGCTGTAGTTTAGTGGTGAGAATTCCACGTTGTGGCCGTGGAGACCTGGGCTCGAATCCCAGCAGCCACATGCATTTTGTGCTAAACAAAATTGTAGTCTGGTTCTTTATTCTTTATTCTTTGTTTGAGTTGCCAATCGACAAATCCCCGAGAAGACTTTTCTTTTCGAGCAATAACCCCACTGTCCTTTCACGCAAATAAAAGCACAAGACCAGCACCACAATATCCTGTTCCGCATCCTGTTTTTTATTTTTTTTCTTTTCCTTCTCTCGTTTAGCTCTTCGTCATATGTAGCAAATCTCATTACTATTAGAGCTGCTTTCACGTCCTCCTTCAGCACCTGTAAAAAGAGAGACATGAAGTTATCATGTCATTCCTGAGGAAGAAACACCGTACTTGCCTTGAGCTTTGCGTGTGTGGTTGAAAGACGTATCATGGTCTCGAGGGTGATTGGCAAAGTGCCTCCTGACTGTGGGAGAAAACATGAGAGAGTGAGCCCAGTTATTTATGTACATCAGAACTACGACTTCCCATAATTGCGTAAGCCTTGATGATTTTGGTTGATGCCTGCAAAGCATTGGAATCAAAGTGCCAACGACGCACGAGGGAGAAACTTACCTCTTCATTCACTTAGCTTTGGTTCGTTGCTACTCTTGGCATGATTTATGAACTTTTTAAAAAACTTATCGTTATTTGTAGACATTTCGCGCGAAGTTCTTGTTTGCCCCGTGCAAGAAACGATTACACAAACATCACAAACATCATAGTTCCTAATTCCTGTTCATTGTTCTCGACATTTCAAAAGCCATTGTCACCATTCAAAAACATACTAGGCTCGCTATTTACCTCCATCTTCGCTGGGTGCTTGAAAACAGTGCATTCGCAGCACATGCTCAGAAATTTTGCGGTCAGTATCAGTATCTGCATCCAATTGATCAAGAACAATAAACAATAAGTCGAATCGTACA